AAGCGAGCGCTTTATTATAAAAGATAATTTTATGAGTTAATATTAATGATTAGAAAATTAATGATTAGAAAATTAATAAGAATTTATATTACAAATCTTGCAATAATAGATTGCTAATATCGCCTATGATTGAATATGTTTAAAAATAACTATTTTTTTGTATAAAAATATCAGAAATAGATTCACGCAAAAAATTCATGAAAGTATTCGATATATTTGCGAAATTTAAATATATATTTCATTTCTTTATATTTAATGTAAATCGAAAAAATGCTGTTGGCACTCTTATACTGTTTAGAAAAAAAAAAGATTTCTTGTTTGTTTAGCGAAATTAAGAAAAATTTGTGCTGAAAAATTTTAAAAAGGTATAAAAGGAAGCAGACATGACCGATCGACGATTTCCTGTTATATTTGTAGTCGTTTCCATTTATGAACTGGCGGAACTGCTGTAAATTTTTGCATTTAGCTCCCACGCAAGAAGATAGGAAAAGGTTGGCGTAGAAAATGAGAAAACAGAGACGGCCCCGCGATTTCCTGCATACCTTTCACATTACTGGCCTCATCTCTCTTCTCTCATTTTCGTTTACCTTTCCTTTCCCACGAACTTCTCTTTTCGTCCATTTCTTCCATCTTTCTCCCCTCCAATACTTCTTCTTCCAATACTTCTTACTTCCTTTTTCCTTCCTTTCACATGCTACTCCTGCTCTATATATATATATATATATATATAATATATAATTGCTAATATATAATTGCTAACTAAATCACAAATACTATCGATACTTAATTTAAATATCAGTAGAGTTGAGATTGTCATTATTTTTTTAGAGATAATATTTTTAAATGTTATTTATTTTTTTCTTTCACATCCTATATGTTGAAGGACATTGGTGAGATTCTTCGGTGAACGCCCCTTTCTTCTTCGGCCTCCGTTGAAAATATTCCCGGCCATTTTTCGCCCCACCAACGCAGTCCACCCTTCGAAAGAAAAGCATCGAATCGATGATGGTGGGGTAGCTATAAGGGACAAAACAATGGAAAAAGTACCGCCATCTTTAATTCGGTCTCTATCGTTTCAGCGAGGGGCGAAGCGCGTAAGAAGAAAAAAATAGAGTAAGATCAATAAATTCAGTTTTATAAATCTTCAAAATTTTTATAATTATTATTATTATTGCTTGATTATTTCTGTAAAATATATTGAGGAATAATTATCTTGAATATTGCGTAAATATTTATATCATCAAGGATTTTTTGCAATACCATTTATCTAGATATAATAAATGAACAGGTCAAGTTATCTTCTTTTTAATACTAAATACAACAAAAAAAAGGATAACGTGACTTTAACATATCTGGATTCACTGCAAAAACTCTTTAATATCGCATATTAATTTATCAAAAAGAAGAAATATAGATAATACAATCTTAACATTAAGAAATTACGAAATACTGTTTAATCATGCTACAATTATTCTAAATTTCTAATTAAATCTACAAGAATTTTAATCAAATTTTAATTAAATTGTGGATAGTGTATAGATTATTCAAAAGATCATCATTTCAAAAAGTTACGAATGGATAATTTTATATTTATGTTAAAAATTGTTATGACCGACTGTTAATTATATTGCAGGATATTCAATGGTGAAAGTATCTTAAGACAGCATAGAACGGGTTTGAGTTGTAGGTGCTAGATGGAGATGTATAGCGTTGCAAGCAATCAATTTGATTATTAAATTATTGTATAATAATTTTTTGTTTACTAAATAAATTGATAAAATTTTACAGTAGTACTTTGTTAATTACTCATTTTTAATATGAAGGTAATTTTAATGTCGCAATGTCATCATCTTTATCGTTTGTCGTCACAGTCGCGAGAGATTGATAAGAGAAAAATGTAAAGCATTTCAAGAATATATCTCGCAGCAATATATTCTATAAATAAAAATATGAAACACTTGATTCGTGAAAAAAATGTACACAAGTTGCAGAAAATCATTAAAAAAACGTCGCTAAAATTATGAAAAATAAGTTATTTATGAAAATGACAAATTAAAAATAATCCATCCATAGAACAATTTACTATCTTTAAAATCAATCTGTTGCATTTTTTGTGCGATTAATAATTTCAATAATATAATAATTGAATGTTCGATGCATGAGCAACGTTTTTTATGAATTTCTGCAACTCATTAACTTGCGTCAATACACAAAAAAAGATATCACATGTTTTTCACGAATCACGTGTCTCATATTTTTATCTGTAAAATATGTAAATTTAAAAAAAAATAAAATGATGTTTTAAAGGTGCCCGGTTTAACGTGGAAAGCCTCATAGATTGTAAGTATGCATTAGATACAGGGTGAATCAGAGTTGTCGAACCAACTTTTTACCCTCTGAGCAAATTATCGACTTCATACCTAATTGAATTATAATGTGTGCAGTCTTTACTTTCTCATAGGGTAAAAAGCTGATTTAACGACTCTGATTCACCCTGTATGCTAATAAAGTCATTTAAGGAAAAAATATGTAAGATATTACTGACTTTCAATAGTACGTACAAATTAGTACAAATTCAGTTGCGTTAATTTTTGCCCTGTGTTGTTTTGTTTTATGGTCTTGCCAGTTTAAATATTAAACTATCAGCGCCTGTTTTCTTGGAAATGACACATGATATAAAATTGTTGGCAATACAAAATAGTACAAATTCAATTGATTTCTGATATTATTTTTTTTTTTATTTTTTTTATTTTGAATTGGTCCTGCTAGCTTAATATTAAACCAGCAGCGCCACGATTTTTTTCGAAATGGCATGGTATAAAATTATCATTAATAGTATAATTAACTATAAAATGAATATTAAAAATTCCGATTTGATTCTGCTGATTTGGTCTTGCTAGCTTTATAAAGCTAAATTATTCAATTGGAATTTTGTTTTGTTGTTAAAGAAAAAGTTGATATTTTCTGCACAGAAAATCTCATTATGCTTTTCGTTACTGCACAAATTTTGGGATACCTAGCATATATATTACTAAAAAAATTTTATTATATATTATCTGGAGACACAGTAATGACTCGGCGCTAAGCCAAGCGCAGCGACACTGTCGTGGCTACTTTACGCGAACCAGCGAATTACGGGGGATTATCCAAGATTATCATATCTCAATAAGAGTAGAACCGATCACGTTCTATGAACGCTTAATCGACAGCATACACTTCGATTGTGTAATTAATATAACACTGTTTAAACTTTCATAGGTATTATCTTCAAAGGTATTATCTTCAAAACCAAAAAATTTGCGTGTTATATTTTTATCGCTATATTTTTATCTTAATAGTATCAGTGCGCTTCTCGCCTTAATGAAGTGAACAACAAAGTTCGACAAAGTTCACGAAATGTTAACATAGCGATAAATAAAAATGTGCGACAATTCGTAAACCTTCTGGTTCTTTGATGTCACTAATTAAAGTTTTTTTTTTTTCGAAAATTAAATTTGTTTATTAAAAATTCATTATTTTAATTATTTATTAATTATTATAGATTAATTATTTTTTTATTATAATATTATATTAAGTCATTTAAAAAGTATCCGCGATTTTTTGTTCAATTTTTGAATGAAAAAAACCGCGGATACTTTTAAATGACCCAATATCATTGTCCTTCACATATACATAAACATGCAAGCAATCAAAATAATCAATATCTTATGAAATTGTCATAGGGAGAGAGAGAAATATTTTCTTTAGAATAAAACATTCTTGATCATAATAATATAAATCAATTCTATTTTTTTACTTTTTTCTACTTTTTTATCTATTGTCTATTATATCGATTTATTTTGGATCCATTAAAGTCACATTCCATTGATAAAATAGAAAATAAACTGGCTTGTTGAATTTTTCATATTCTTGAAAAATTATTCATATATTAGGTGTTGGAATTAATTCGTAGCGTTTTACAAGTGATGGGAAGTACTTTCATTAATGTATTTTTTAATGCTCATGTGAAATAAATAACATTCTTTCATTAAAAAACGCTACGAATTAATTCCAACACCTAATATATAGTTTTAAAAATATTTATATAATACAATAATTTCATAATAATTTCCAAGGTTAATTTCACTTATATAAAACTATATATATATATAAGACTTATATAAGACTTATATATTACTGATAAATGCGTGACTAATTAGTTTCCAATTTCTCATATTTTTTGTGTAAACTTTATTATGTAAATAATTATTTTAGTTTTTTATTTCTGATTGTTATATATGCTAAAGAAGGCCTGAAAGATTTTAGTTTTTTATTTCTGATTGTTATATATGCTAAAGAAGGCCTGAAAGATTTTAGTTTTTTATTTCTGATTGTTATATATGCTAAAGAAGGCCGTTCGAGGCCGAAACGTTTATATTTTAAGAATAAAATATAAGTTCGCTACCAAGATCCTACGTTTGTAGTATGTCCTTTAATTTGAATAATTTTTAATTAGTAGCCACTTAATCTCTATATTACATATAATTTAATATATTTATATTATTATATTTAATATATTTAATATATTTATTATTATTATATATTATTATAATATAAACATTTTATATAATATCATTATAATTAACATGTTTATACTTTATAAAATTTGAGAAAATAGTAATTTTATGTAACAAAAATAATATACAAATATGATAATATACTAGTTTATTTTAAAAATTCCATCATGCTCTAATTATTTTTTAATCAATTTGGGACATCTTAAAAATATTTCATATTTGCATCATATATTCACTTATTTTGAATATTTTCAAGGATAATGAAAATAATTTGTTGATAAATCATCGAAGTCAGGTTGATAAATGCGTACTTATTTAGAACAGGTTTCGCGAAACATACCATATGAAGTTTTCAAGAAAGAGAGGATAAGAGAAGAAGGAAAGATTATCGTGTCGGCGGGGGCAGTCTGTCCATGGATAACTAGGTATAACATAAAATACAGAGGCCTCCTCGCAAGAGACATAATGCAACGTGCGGTCTGACGGATCACTCGCTTCGCGGACGCGATCGATTGATCGATCCTACACGGTCGCAAAGTGTAACTTTAACCGCGTTTAATTTTAATCAACAATTTCTGCTTATTATTAGTCCGGATTGTCTATTGTCTGAGATTATTTGACTGGGTGCCAAAAGAATTATGAAAGTTTTCTTTAGTTCAGGTTCACGGAGATCATTAATTGTGACGAGACGCGGAAACGTATCGGACAAATAAGAAGACGTTGATAAAAGACGTCTTTGTATGGTAAGTAGCTCATTTTTTATTTTCGTTATAAATGGCAAATGTAGATCTATAATGTAGATACATCTAGTAGTGGAAAATTAATTAGAAAACAAAAGATATTACTCTTAGGCCCGATTGCACCAATACTTTGATTTTAAACGAAATTTTAAACTCTTTCTATCTCATTTTAAAACCGAAAAGAGACAGGAACAAAGAGAGTTTTAAGCCTCGCTTAAAATTAAATTAATGTTGGTGCAACCGGGCCTTAGTGAGATTATTTGATTGTCTCGGACATAGAGATATATTGATAGCAATGTTAATCACTGTATTTATATAAAAAAAATATATGTTTTATTCTATAACTATAGATTAGTTTCATTAATTTCAAACTGCTGTAATGTTGCATGCACTTTTTTTTATATTTCACCTACAGTCGTAATAATTTAGCATTTAACCAATAACAGTTATTAAACTACAAATAATTTAATAAGGAAAGCTATTAGATTAGCTATAGATTAAATACATTGTAACAGTGACTCAAACGCTAAAAAACACAACAAATGACACAATAAAACAAAAAAAAACATGAAACTTGTCGTCCTTGTAGATTAACTTTGTCCATGAAGGACCAAGGCATATATAACTGCAAGTTCAGCATTGAGAGAGAAAGGCATTCGTATTATTGAAAGATTCATTAATATTCTTCCACAATTGTTATTTTATTATTTATTACATCCAAAAAAAGTATATAAAAAATTTAGCAGGAAATTTGTTTGAATTTCCTTTTAATGATATCATTCTCTTCAAAAGACGTAGTTAATTATAGAACCGACTTGATTCTTCTTGTAATGTTGATAACATAAAAATTCATGAAATGCAGGATTATATATGCAAGATGAGCAAAAAGTCTAGATACATTTCAAATATCTCATAATTGATGCATTTTTTAGAAAAAAATGTTTCTTATAAGAATGCAAGAGATCCGGATTCGACTCCCGGCCGAGGCAATATTTTTTCGCAATAAGTTTATTACAGTTTTTTAAGATTAATTTGGGGAATTTTGGGGTGATTATTACATTTCAGATTAATTGCGTTAATGTCGACAACCATATCGACACGTAATTATTATTTCTGAAATTAATTCATTCGTGTGGAGAATATATATATTAGTTCAACATCTTAATACTTAGACCGTAGTGGCGCTTCGGATTGTAATGTTATTTCTTATAAAAGTTGTAAGGCTTAAAAAGACGCATTCATCGATAGTAATTTGACTTAGGATGATTGATTGTCAAGGTCAGGTCAACATGAATTTTTTAAATGGAACCTCTTTTTTTCATTACATATTGTTGTAGCTTATCTCGAGAGCTTTCCAAAGCACTATAATTAAATTCATTTTCATTAAGTACTTTGCGAGTTATAAGGCTTGAAAGTTACAGTAAGTTACCGCCGACACTAGCATTACGCAAGGTGTCCAACCGACAGTTAAAACCTCTTGAATGTGGTTCAGGATCATGTCCTGAATAACATTTGTTAAAACTGAGGTAATTGGAGATTGTTTCTCTTATTTTCATTTTTGCACTGAAAATTCATTTTTATATAAAAATGAAAATAAGAGACACAATCTCCAATGATCGAAAAGGAGGAATTCATTTAACAGGAGGCCGAGGTAATGTCATCCATTTTGATAGTATAAAATATATTTAAATATATGATATATATATATATATATAAAATGTATTTTTATTCGCCCGGAATTTAATAAAACGATGTATTAAGAAAATCTAGTCTAAAAAGATATCTATCTTAAGACTCTCTAAATATGAAGAGATATCCTTTTTTTTTTTAATTTCGTAATATGAAGATTATTAAGCCTTTCCTAACTTCAACTTTGTTCATTTTATTCTTTTCTTTTTAATGTGTTAATACATATGTCGCTTATATCATTCATCTTTTGTAAAAGGAACATTTTTTTTTATCCTTCATGAATATACGATAAGATCTGATATAAAATGAACGATATCTTGACTAACTAGCTTCTTACTGACTATAAATTACGGTTTATTATTGTTACATAAGAAGTATAATGCATTGCGTAGCTATATACTGGAATGAATTACTGTCGACTGCATGACCTATCTTGAGAAATGTAAATAGCATCAATGTGGAAACTTATAATTCGAAAGCTGTACAAAAGTAAAGAAAGATATATGTGTGTTGCATACAAGATATGCAAGAAAGAAGATAATTGATATCACCTTGTCGCATGACAATTAAATATTTAAAAAGAAATCACATGTAATGTTGAGAGCGATGGAGCGTTAAGATTAGTAAAGTAGAATGGAGAATTCTCATACTTATGTCATTTAGATTAAGTTAATATACAAAAGATAATAACATAGAAAAAAAAAAAACAACTAATGTAATATGCATCAAAAAATGGACAATGAAAAAATACAATGAAATTATCAGCACGAGAATTGCAGATTACTTTAGAGGTTTACTTAGTCATTCTTCTCATTATTTGTCATGCTGACGTAACGTTAAGGATTCATTCCAATTTATTCACATGAAAATGTGTTTGTATTCATGGAACATATAATATCAGAAATTCTATTTTTTTATACTTTCAAAGAATATTAATAAATAATTAATTAATAACTGTTGGAAGATTTTTTGTATGATAATATAACCTAGTACTTACGTGTGATTCAACAATATATAGTAATGTCTGTAACACATGTGGCATTCAACTACTAAGAGCCTTTTCACAAGTTATTTATTGTTAGTCTAAATAGACTAGTGGCAATATACGCTATACTAGAAGTTATACGAGTAAAAAAAGGATTAATTTTCACTATAAATTACTTACAAATATCTTTGATGAGTGTGGTGACCTATTTCTCAAATTATTATCTTCTTTCTTTTGTAAGCTTTATAATGAATATATACAAATACAATAAATATAAATTGAAAATAAAAACAAATATATGTAAATTTATCTATAAAATGATTTCTTACTTAAATTGCAACATAGATATAGACTATCTGTTCTGCGCTCAAACGTAATTAAATCTGTTCAATGTAGCAAATTAATTGCTACTTGTTCGATCTGAGCATACATCGTGCATATTCCCTATTGTAACATTATTTTTATTACTGACATAATTGATAAATCGAACTGATCAAACTAATTAGACACTTGGAAAGCGCAAACAAATAAATCATTTTTTATAATAACGGTGATAGATTATCTATTTATAATAAAACAAAGTTTAATTTCTAGGAAAATCTAATTAGGAGGAGACGAATTAATCGACAATTGCAGATTTTCTCGTACGGTTCAGTTTCATATAAATGTCAATTTTTATTTAAATGTTCTTTAATCTAAAAACACACACAAGTAATGACTATTTACATAATAATCAACGTTTGCGCAATTGCCATATAATTGCTTGTGCTAGTTATCTATTTTTATTAATAAATTAATAGTTGCATAACGTAATCTTAATCAGTTATTTCTTGCTGCATCTAAATATTAGTCGCGACTGTAATTTTTATAAATATCAATATAAATCGAAATGTAAATGTAATAATATAACATTATGTTGCAGATGAACGAGAGACGGAGTGAATCTTCTAAGAAGAAATTGGAATAAGAAAAGATTTGATTTGCATAATGATTGCTAATAATGATGACAATTGTTGAAGAAATATTACGTATTATGTACAAAGAATAAGTCTTTGTTTCAAGTTCCTTCGAGAATGAATGATATAAATCATACGTAATCTAAATATAAATAACAAAAAGTACGATCGCATGTAAGAAGTAACACAATATAATCACGTTACGATATGAAAATACATTATACACAGTTCGAATTGTTATAAATGGCGAAATATCTTACACTGTTTATAATAAACGTAAAAATGTGAAGAGAGATATTAAAATTATATTTCCGCGTGCATATTCATTGATTATTAATTGCATAAGAATACATTATCACGATTTGTTATAAACCGCAAAATACTTTACGCTTATAAATGACGTAAAAATTTAGAGAAGATTATACACAAATTGTACTTTCGTGTGCGTACTAATATATTCGTTGATTAGCCAAGGAAATTATCAAGAGTAGTTCTTTAGAACAAGAGTTCTCTGAGTTCTTTAGAACAAGATTAACTGCGTCTAATATCTCTTCTCACTGCAACTATAACGATAAGTATTATAGTCGAGGATAAATCTTCACTCACACAATGTGCATTAAATGTGCATAATTCAACCGACCTACGCAATTGTCAGACAAACTTTTCGTTCCCAATAACCTGATAAACGTTAAAGAGATAGACAGAAAGCTGATAAGCAGTGCGAAAGATATTTCTCTCAATAAAATTTAATCATGTCGACAAGAAAACGTACAACGAACGCGATGCGTATATCGCGGGCCCGGATGGCCGACATTCAATTCAAGGATCTGTCTTTTGAGATTCAAATTGGATATCGTAAGATTAAGAAGAAAATCTTAAAGAATCTAAATGGAGTCTTCAAAGCCGCGGAGCTGACAGCTATTATGGGACCGTCTGGTGCCGGAAAATCTACATTGCTGAATGTTTTGACGGGATTTCGACAAGGACACTTGACTGGTACAATTGAATACAGTAGTAGTGAAGGTAGACAGAATTGGGAAATGTACAAGAAGCAATCGTGCTATATTCAACAGACGGACAATCTGTACGGTTTACTTACTGTTCAGGAGAGCATGATGATTGTGACCTATCTGAAGATCGATAATGCGACGGTAATGTTTAGACAGATACTGATCGACAACATTCTGGACACGCTGAAGTTATCGAAAGTGAAGGATACAAGAGTCGACCGGCTCAGCGGAGGACAGAAGAAGAAATTGAGCATCGCCCTGGAATTGATTGATAATCCGCCGATAATGTTTTTAGACGAACCGACTACCGGTCTAGACTCGTTAGCGTCTCTGCAATGCATTTCCACGTTGCAGACTCTGGCAAAAAGTGGCCGAACGGTGATTTGTACCATACATCAACCCAGCGCCGCGATCTATCAAATGTTTGATTATATTTATCTGATAGTCGACGGCAACTGTTTGTACGCCGGCATGCCTGATAATACGGTGAGTTATTTCGCTCAGCAAGATTTTCAGTGTCCACAGTATCATAATCCTGCGGACTATATGTTGGAGGTAGTCAATCAAGAATATGGGAATTATAACAATCAATTGGTCGCAGCGGCGAAGAAATATTGTCAGAGAGAGGAGACATCTCTCAAGATGCACATCATGAGAGAAGCGACGTTCTACGACGAGAAAACGAAAATGGACCCACCTTCCGAAATGGCAAAATTCAAAGTGTTGTTATATCGTTCCGCCCTGATAATATATCGAGATTGGTCGGTGTACTACGTCAAGATAATCATGAATTTTCTCGTAGCTATCTTAATCGGCTTGATATTCGAGCATGTTGGCATTAATGCCAAAAGAACCACTAGCAATGTTAGTTTCTTAATGTTAACTGTATTATACTTCATCTACATCAGTTTGATGCCAGCCGTTTTGAAATTCCCTTTGGAGTTGGATATTTTAAAAAAGGAACGCTTCAACAATTGGTATCAACTGAAGACTTACTATATAGCCATGTTGGTGATCACTCTACCGTTGACCATATCATCCACTTTTGTTTTCTCAATCATTTCTTATGGGCTAACCAAACAACCTATGGAATGGTCTCGGTTTTTCATGTTTCTACTCATTACGACCCTGACGTGTTTCACTTCGGAAAGCATAGGCTTAGGTTTAGGAATTATTTTCAATCCTATCAATGGCACCTTCTTCGGAGCCGTTCTTATAGCGATGATGGTGACGTTAGCTGGCTTTCTGGTATTTTTCAATCACATGCCGCGGATTTTTTATTACGTTAGTTATATAAACTACTACAGATTCGCTTTCGATGGCTTGGTACAAGCGATTTATGGTTTTCAACGAGAGGCAATACCTTGTCCAAGTAACATCGAGTACTGTCATTTACGAATGCCGTCGCTGATATTAGAAGAGCTGAGTATGACCAAATCTATATTCTGGATCGACGTCATTGTCCTGCTCGCCTGGTTCGTGGTCATTCGGATTGTGGCTTATGTGACGTTAAAAAGAAAGCTTTCGAAAATATGAATTTGATAATTCTGTATGTTGCTCGGTATTACAGCTGCATTTAAAACGAAGCATAGATTTTTTGTTTTCATGCTGTTTTCGTATCGAAGATGGAAAGACACATTAATCGATGATCAAGATCCTCAAGGATCTATTCGCAAATGTGAAGAAAAAATTGTGTAATGTCAGCGTGGCTGTGAGAACATATTTATAGCTTCGTAATAAAATCTTTTCGCGAAGATTTAAAGTGATAATTTCTAAATATAATACGTTTATTTCTTTGTAATGAGATCTTTCCACTGAGTCTTAAAGATAGAAGACAGTGATAGTTTCTAAATAATGTCGAGACGTCAACAAAATAAATGCTTACGCAACTTACGTGCACGGTAGGAAGTAAAAGTAATGCTTCTATTGAGTCGATTTTTGCAACTTGATCTGATGCAAACCAACGAGATAAAATACAGAATATGGAGGATGGAGTATGGTTATAGAAAGTGAACTGTGACATTGTGGACGCTAAGTGCGCGATGACTTTCACGCTCGTGTTCAATGGTACGTGCTAGGACGATAATGAATATATTATCATGGTTATTTCGCGTTATAGAAGTTATAGAAGAGATAAGAAAATACAATTCTGCTTTGTAAACGTTTTCTTCAAGCTTTATGTTAATAATAATTTTTCTGTAATGAATTCAGGTTTTGCAAATCAGATTATCATTATTAATAGAATTACAATTGCTGCGCGTATAATATAATTTATGAAAATGACTTAGACTTTATTCAGTTTATAAATATTCTTCAATATTTCTGTGCATATCTGATATCATATATCAGATATTATTATACGAGAGAGCTTCCATGGTTCGAGGGTTTCCATGAATTATACTCGTAAATAATAACCTTTCAACTGATTGGAATATCTGATATTCTGATACCTGAATAGTAAGCAAATATTTATATACACGATATTGTATATTGTAAATTGTTACTGCAGAGTTTCACATAAGAATATGCACAGATAAATTAAGCATAATTATTTTGAAAAGGTTATAAAGGGTAATGAAATGAATTAACAAAAATATATTATCAAATAAATTAATAGGAATCATGTAATAATAAAATATTTTCATCGACGAAGAAATCTCGTACTTAAATAAAATATTTTGCCAGTTAGGTAATGTAAAGATACGGATTATAGGTCAAAAACCACTAAGAGAAGGAATTTGTAGGATTTCTTAACCGAGGTTAACTATGTATTTCGTATTAGGATGAAAACGGCGACGAACCACTAATATTGCAGTCGTGTAAACATAATTGTGTAATAACATTATATAAGCTATACCATACACATCTGCAATAGAAGTTGAGAAATAACGAAATTAATAGCCTTTCACTCAATCAAATGAAATTACCGTAATAATGAATTCCTCAGTAAAGATTGGGAGAAATAATATTATTGTTGAATTCGATCTCGCAGAGATTAAATTAATAAGTTTATTTCCGCTGTATTTCTCTTCGAGAAGAGATAATCGATGGCTTATCAAAAGTGTAATGCGATGATCTTGTCTTGTATGTAACATGAGGTACGAGAAATATAAACTTCAAAATGTGGATTACAAATGCTTGCATGTACTGCAATAATTTGCGAAATTTTGCGGCGTATCAATTAAGAATGAGCAAGAACAGCATCGTGGCGTGCTGTACTTGTTAATGTCTAAATGTATCTACATACTGTGCATACATATAGCTAATCGTTATTCTGATACTCGTATAATGAAATACAATTGAAACTTAAATCAGTATGTGTATCATAGGAGCAAAACGTAAAACGTAATGTAAATATTATCTAAAATACTGAGAGTATAATATACAAATAAAATAACGAATGAGAAAGAAAAAAGCAAATAATGGCAAAAATAGCGCGCATATTATAAATTATATTAGAGAAAAAGAAAGAAACGTTTGACGGATCGCTATAGGATCCACGTCAAGCGACACTGTGATTATGGAAAAAATGGCACATTTATTATATTAGTGATAATAATATTACTAATGATATAATTACATATTTTTTCTTTCTCAATCGATACACTTGTTCACTCTCTCATATTCTTTCTCTCCCTCTCTTGCACTCTTCCGTTTATTTCTTTCTCTCTCTTTTTTATTCAGTTTAGATATTTATATTCATCTCGTACTTCATTAATATTAATAATCGCATCATTCTTCTTAATCGCATGTAGGGTCGAAGAAATCGGTTTCAACATCCTCTAGGCCCATTCACACAAACTGGCTACAACCCACTTACGCATTAATCTTTTTTTATTACATATTATACAATATTATATATCTAATATAGTTACACCCTTATATGATATGATAATTATCGATTCGCAGTTGTACCAATAAAACTGAACCCTTACACACAATTAGACCGCAACAAATAGTTCCTTATGTTCTCATTGATATTTACGCTTAACAGTAATCAATAAATTGAAATCAGTTTACAACCAACTTATACCAAAGTGCGGTGCCCGGTATTCTTGATATGCACGTACTTGAAAATATAACATCATTATTATAAGAGCATAATTATTTCGTTTCATGTACAAAGGTCTGTGTGAAGGGGCCACTATGGCCGACAATTTCGACTTCGAACACCCCTGTGTAGACCTCTTCGCTCTTCAGCTTCATTTTGACTATCTACGACTATCGACACGTGTCTAGCTTAGACTGGCTTACGAGCTATTTATTGTCGTTATTATTTTACATGATTACCTTCGCGAATACAGATGTATGATCGTGTATTTTATTAGTATCTGTGAGCGGCTCTTTCTGCAATTTATCGCAATGTACATTTATCGTTACGTTCTCTCTTCCTCTTTTTCGCTCTCTTCTCCCTTTTTATGTTAAATATAATTTTATAAAGCGTCGCCGAAGCGACGGAGCATGATTAATGATTATTAATTAAATGTGGAGCGAGGTTGTGCGAGTTCTTGCCGATCAGCTTGCCTACAGATCCTGATCGAGAACGAAAGTGATTTTATGATAGGTCTACGATCTAGTGAAAATACGTAAGTTTACAGTTTATAAAAATCAGCGTTGGGATCTTTTCAATTCTTCTCGTATCATTAACTGGTTTGGAAAATAAAATATTTTAAAATATTTATAATGTTAATATTGTATCAAATATTACAGAGTATTAACAGTACTTAGTACTGTATGATCGCATTCTGATTCGCAATCATAGAGAGATCTTTATTTTACATTTATATCATGCGTACATGTTCACCTGTGTCTTTAAAATATATTTCAATATCATACATCATACAACTGAAGCAGATGTTCAATTTAAATAATATGAACATTTTGTAGCTAATTATAAATGAAAAAAGAAAATTTGATATACGGTTTGTCAAAAACTTTCTAATTTATACCATTTCACTCAAAATAGTTTTATAATTTAAATATAATACTAAATATTGTGTAATTTTGTGTAATGAGAAAATTATGTAATTCAAAAGAATATCATTACAAAAAATATGCAAACTAAGTCAAGTTAAAAATTGAGCGAAAGAGAGAAAATATGTTGCAGATTACTGCAATAAATATACATATGATATGTTTGATTTATTTCGATATGAGTTTAGATTTTAAAAGTGGTAAAGGAAAAGCCTGTCAGAGTCTGAGCAAGAATATATAATATTTATACGATCTTCCGTAATTTCTTTGAAATACTGCCTTTGAAGAAAAATATAGCTGTATAAATGTATGTTATTCAAGAGAAGATATACTTAGTAGATGAAAGGAAAAAGAAAATAGAATAGAAAAGAGGCGAAATAAACACGGGCACTCGATGTATTTGCGTTGGTTTCTTTTTTTTTTCAATAAAATTTATTTAAGAATTTAAATAAATTAAAATACATGGCAACTGGGTACAGATACGTTTGAGCTATATTTTTGTTCAAAAACAAAAATGTCCCGTTCTTTACTTCTCACGAAAGATCTTATCAACGGTAAGTAATCGATAATAATAATAATAATTAATAATAATTAATCATGATTATGACAAATTGATTGGTTTGGCTCTTCTCGTACTTGTGCGAGTTAAATCGTATTCATAACGATCTTATATCACGCCTTACGAAAGCTTTCGTTCGCTCAATCTACATTCCACTTCACCGCGTATATATAAGTACAGAAAATTTTGCCCGAATGATCGATGGGCAAAGGTAGCGCAGGAAGAGGAGCCCCCTGAAGATTTGAGAAAGTCCAGAGTGATTCGACGATGTACCAAAACCAGTCGATGCCATCGAAAGATCGTATTTTCTCCAGCAATGCAGCACCATGAAAAAAAAGCACTGCAAAACGCATTTGTGAAGTGCATCCGTAAACATTGTCATAACAAGGATATATTTCGCATGAAGCGTATGTAATATTTTTCCCAATGCTCACGTCTTGGCACATATAAATGCTTTTCAATTCTTGCTGATAATATATATGTATGTCTTGTAGCAAATTATTGCGGAAACATAAAGCGTTCCAATCTGGATCAATAATTGTGGAGAGATCTCTTAATTCTTTCTTTTTACTTCATGTTTTTACTGCCCAATGTTTTTCTCAATGCCACAATAATATTTGGGATAATCCATTTTGGAGTTGCAATTTGTATCCGTGTTGAGACACGGACAATAAAAGACATAATACATAAAAATTATTAATGTATAATTCAAGAATGTCCTAAAATGTCTTAAATTAAAAATCCTTCATTATTCTTAAATTAAAAATCGTTCGAACGATCAGTGTAAATAATAAAATGATTAACAAATCATTCGTTGAAAGTAATGCAAATGTTATCTCTTATGTTATTTCTTACAATATACGCTTTCGGTTTTGGGCACGGATCGTTCACGCTATTTTCCTACGATTATTATAAAAATATTTTATACAAAATCCGAAATAATTAAAATGGCATGTAATAAAAATGAGATGTGATTTGCATACAAATTACGCTTAATATAAACTATAACTGAATGCATTAATAATATCCATCTCGATATTAAAACCAAGAGAGTTCTATAAAAATGGCACTTAAATGGCATACACAATCAAATTCTAGCCGTAAAAAACACTTGAAGAATAGTAAAATAAATATATGTTGATAACTTCGTTAAGTAGGGTATCTTCACGGCCATTGTTTTCCTATTTTCTCTGAGATAGTGGTATTGATGTTAAAAATAAGAGTATTTTTAACGATGCGGTATCATAAGAAACGTTCATAATTATTTATACGTTCCTTGCAGCTTCTTTTTGTACATATGTACATAAATGAATTGTACATGATGAATGACACATCGCGGATCACATACACTTTATCTTTCTTCAGTTTTCTTACAAAAGCAAATTTTGTAAGAAATAATATATTCGAAGATATTTTTCATTTTTTTTATTTCTTTGATCAAGCTGTATGTCAAAAAAGAAACTGCAAGCATCGGAATGTGCTTTTCTTATCATACCGCGAACCAGTTACAAATGATGTTCTCGCGAGCGTGAACGAACCGCTAGCATCTTCAATTCACATTCTGAACGCTCGTAAATAATAGTTTCTATATACAATATTGCCAACGTCTAATGATCAACATAAAGGCGGCATAATTCATGTGCCAAATTGACAAAGAGTTAAATTCAAAGAGTTGAAATAGGATGTTTTAAGAATATAAAGTTAATCAACGATTTGCCTGATTCTGTTAATGTGTGAAATTAAAAAGTATATTTAAATATTATCTAATTCGGAAATATGCTGCCTTTATTTTCATCTCTAGTCAATGACTTCATTTTTTCGCCAACTCGAGTTCTCTTCCTAGCTATTGCGCGTTATAACATAAACCGTGTCGGTAGTGTATACACAGAAGTGGGCAATTTAACATGAGTCAGCAGCGAAGTTCGATCGTTAATAAAACTTCGATCGTACTACACATTATATATCTCGAAAGAGGAACCATATTCCTTTGTTTTTTCTTTTCGCTATTTATAAAAATAATTTGAAGCCGCCTTGAGGGGGTAGATGCCTCTTAAAACTACTTGCCCTACGCTTGGATGAGCGCATACGGAAACTTCTTCCCTTATTAATTGCATATTGAAGTACTGCGAAAAAAATTATGGGTATTCCTGTGTCGTTTTTGCTACAGCATTAAAACATACATACACTGTTAAAAAAAAAAAGGAATTTGCTTCTGTTACATGTAATGGAAGCAAATTTTAAGCAGGTACATTAAGAATATTTAATGTTATCAATGAAAATGAAGTTATAAGTAACTTAAAAATTTAATTACTTGTATTAAATTTTTTGTAAATTTACATAAAATTTAATACAAAATGTTACTTCGTAAAATTTTATGAAAAGTACACTAAATTTCATGTACACAAATATACTTTTCTTTTAGATGCATAAAATTAAATTTAGTGTCATACAATTGAATTTAATTTGTGTAACTTAAAAATACATTAAATTTCGTGACATTTTTAACACTATACATATCCTTAAATCAATAGATGTTTTCCAGGCCAAATTTAAATTATTAAAAAATTATTACAAATATTAATTAATATATAAATATTAAATAACGAACAAAATATTTTAAAACTACGATTGAGAGTTTCTTATCTCTTCTTCTTTTCTTTCTTCTACTAATAACGCACCACATAATATCCACAATTTTTTGCACATTCCCACAACTTATAAGAGCAGAGAAAAATCCTATATAGGTATGTAAGTCATGTTCATAAACTTGTTTTTTTTTATTGATTTTAAGATGTATCTACCCCTTAACACAGAATGATACCGCCACTGAGCCGCTGCTACTGCGGCTGTGGTGGATTGTGCTGAAGGGAAGGTTGTGGACCCTAAAACAAATATATATATTTTATTTATGCATCCCAAAATAATTCCACTTGTATTGAATTTAACTTTGACAGAATCTTACAGGTAATGCGGGAAAGGGCGGTTGGGAGTGCGCGTGTGGATGAGAATGCGGATGTGCTATGTGCGCTGCAAGATGACCTGGTAACTTCGGACCATCCTCGGCTTTCTCCTCTTCTCTTCTTTTTAAACACGCAGCCTTCGGATTAAGATTCCGTTCTGAATAAAAAAAAAAGAATAGATTAAACACGAATATTTATACAGATTAATATGATACAATTAATCAAAACGCATGTTGGTATATGCACCTCTGACTTGTTGTTCGAGTGTCATTATAACTTCAACAGCCATGTTGAGAATACCGAGCTTCGTTTGAGGTTTGTCCGTCTTTAGGTGTGTCATACACATTCTGCCAAGTTCCTTTAGAGCCTCATTGATATCCCTGATACGTATCCTATGATGAAAAATGAAATTATGTTAATTATCTTATTAAAATACGAGAATATTTTCTTTAAGTTTCAATGTTAAATAGAAAGGAATAAGTTCTTGATTACGTACTATATGTAATAATTTTGTAATATTACATTTTTTGACATCTACTTACACACTCATCACATTAAGCAATATTCTTCTTGTATATGTTTACAATAGAAAAAATTAATATAGCAGAGAGCAAATTATAGAGAGAAATATAATTGTACAATATCATATATACTATTGCTCAAAAGTTTCAGTTCTCCATTTGGAAACTTCGTAATATCATGAAAAGAATAAAATATAAATATAACTATATACATTATAATTCTTTAATTTAATATATATTACATATTTTCATTAAAATTAGAAAAATGAATTTATTTTTTCTCAAATTTTTTTATTTCTTCAAGCTTAAATCTTTTTGAGTTTTCATAACAGAAGTCAAAATCTTGACATTTTGCCGACGAGTTCTTTAAATGTCTTAAGACAAAGACTTGTATTCTGATGCTTAATTTCTGCGAGAATATATATTATTTCTATTCTCTTATTGTTAGTCATCATAATATCTAAATATTTATCGATATCTAAATCGCACATGAAATTGATATATTTTTTTATATTGATATACAGGATTTTAACATATTTCACCCATCATGAGCAGATAGAGTCGAACTGAGTCGAAAAATCCTCTACCATTTTGCAATTTTCGCAATAATTAACGAGATATTAATTACTAAAAATTGCCAAATATTGGTCTTGAATAATTTTTTACTCAAATACTATCAACTTTATAGAAAAATTGCAAGAGACAAAAATCATTTTAAAAATTATTTTCTTCTCATAGAACTCTAAAAATGTTTTCAGAATTTTTTATCAACTTTTTAGTATTGTATTTTCTTATTTTTACCAACATGAGAAAATATATTTAAAAATTCTGAAAAAATTTTCGGAACTTTATGAGAAGAAAATAAATGATTTTTATCTATTGCAGCTTTTCTATAAAGTTGACAGTATTTGAGTAAAAAATTATTCAAGACCAATATTTGGCAATTTTTAGTAATTAATATCTCGTTAATTATTGCGAAAATTGCAAAATGGTAGAGGATTTTTCGACTCAGTTCGACTCTATCTGCTCATGATGGGTGACGAAATGTTAAAATCACCCTGTATACACATGATATTTATCTATTTGAGGATTTATTTACAATTTATATATAGTTTTTATAAATATTTGTCGAAAATTCACGACTCTACTGAATCCGAAAAGAGAGTGTATCAAATTAATTTCATATTTTTTATAAATGAAAAATATGAATTGTTAGCTGAAACATGAAACATGTTGAAACTTTTGAGTGGTAGTGCATATCTTATAATTCTTTATTAATACAAATGCAACTGTGTAAGCATGTGATAGGAGTAAATTTTTCATGCATAGATATGTACGAGAACATGCCGATTTTGTAAAATATTGTATATGGGGAACTATGTCACACATTTATTTTCATTGTAATCGAGAAATACTTTTAATATTCTCTTACATTATTATGTCACATATACATAGAATACGGGCCGCCGTTACTACTGACCAGAATTGTCATATCACTGTAGGTTAAATTTGATATTTTTTATGTCCGCTGCGTATATCATTGATTGATCTTACCTTTCCCTAGCATTATTTGCTTGCCGCCTCTCTTTCTCCCTTTGTGCCTTCATGTCGGGATCATCATCCTCGTCCTCAGCGCTCGAACAACAGTTGCGCAATAACAATACGCGATTAATCACCTGGCTTACGTCACAACTTACTCTAGCCTATATCGCTTAAATTACCTAACGGCAATTGAATTACTAACATAAGCGACACGCGATATAGTCGCAAGTTGCAAGAAAATAGCTTTTGACTTGCTGGAGTCTAATCACCTAATTGTTGTTCGAGCGAATTTCGTATAAATACATACATTTCTTATTGCAATAGACAGGCGATATAATAATGAACACACGCAGATGATTTCATAATTTTGAAATCGTGGATAAGTAGGTTACGAATTTAAAGGCCCGTATTCTTTGCACAGAACAAACAATCGATGGCGAATAATCACGTCAAGGGACAGTGATCTTTCGGATCGAAAAATGTAGATCTTCTATTTTGATGCTGACCTAGAAAATTAGAGAATGCAGATGACATCTATATAATTGTTTATCATTTTTTTTTTAGAACGGTATAATTTGGAAGGATTTAAAAATAATCATAAAATAAAATAAAAATAAAACAGTGCGGATTTAAAAAAAAAAGATAATTAACATCGAAATACTTGATTATATATAATTGAAAGATCGATATCGATCGACTTTTATTTGAAGAATAATATGACAATCCCTTATAAAAATTTATGTGACACGTGTATGTCCAACACAGTGAGATTTATCAGTTTACAAATAATACGACATGTTCTTTCATTTGTACAAAGGTAGTAAAAAATGTGCTTGTAGGGATAAAAAGAGAAAAGTTTATACAATTGAGCAATTTGATGCAACGTTCAGTGATGCAGAATAAGTGCGGAATATTCTAAACAAAGTGGCATGCCTAGGGACCGAATCGCAGCTAAATTAAAATGAGACTGATTTGCAGGTACGCACGAGAGAGCTGTTAACATTCCATCTTGTCTCATCTCATTTCTGTCCTCTTAACCAGAAACATTTTAATTATCACGCCTGAATACGGGCCTTATACAGTGCAACGGATGTAAAGGATTACGGGACTTGTACTCATGTTATAACAAAGTCATAAACATGCCGCGCGTTTTTCCCCTGATCGTTCATGAATTAATCGTCTCACAATTTATTGCTCATCACAAATAACACCTCGTTTTAGGCATGCATACGACTAGGTGGTCAGGAACTTTCCCCAGAAAAATGTACAGAGATTTTTTTTTTTTTTATGTACGTTACACTTGGCGATGGGAATATACATACGCATATCATCCGCATCGTAAGAGACGTGTATATATTAGCGGGATTGTGGGAGCGGAGAACAGGGCGGAAGAAATTGTTTGTATCAAGATGCAACGAAGTGCGTACTGCGTGTGTTCACTAACCTTTCACGCACGTTGTTGGCCTGGCGACGTTCTTTCTCGCGCACCGCTTTGGTGCCAGGATCGTCGCAGTCTTCATCGGCGCTCGAACAACGGTTGTTCAAAGACACAGCAAGTTAGTTTAAAAATAAATTTTCCAAGATCGGAGCGCATCTCCAATTAATTATTAATTCGTTTAATTTTCAAGTAAACTTTCAAATTAATATAGAGAGAATGTTTTATTTATTTATTTATTTATTTTAATATCTATGAGCGAGTCTTGGAGCGAAATGACGGACGTTAATACGCGTATATCGATTGCAGCTTTCCTTATTTTTGTCATCGCTTTTATCTTTTTTGTCGCTCGATATGTCTAATCCTCCGAGGAATTTATTTAGAAATTTATTTTCGAAAAATCTTCAGATACTTACTATCTACGCGATCTCTTCGTTCCTTTTCCTTGCGACGTCGAGTTAACTGTAGCAGCCCCGATTACACCGGCCGCTGCGAGTTCACTGCTTGATGGTTTCGTTTCGCCGCCGCTACTATCGGGCGGATCTTTCCTTTTTTCTAAGGGGATGTATTCTGCTCATTATTGATACTGTTGCGTAAAATTTCCGCGACAATTGCATTGTTACATTATACAATTTGCAAGACAGAAAAAATCAGGTAAAATTTATGTCAATGTATATTTTCTTTTTCTTCGTAATTCTAAAGGTAATTGACAAAAGATATCTCTTCAAGGAGTTTCAAAAGCAGACTATGACAGCAGCCTCATTTGAGCATTGTCGCCAGATTATCTGATGCAATAGCGGAAAAATGGCACGGACTTATTCCGGAAATGGAGAAAGAATAAACGCGACTGACCTTCGCCGAAGATGGCGATCACGATCTTCGATTATCCCAGAGCTTTAGGCAAGGAGGCTTAGTCACGAAACCGTGAAAAGCGTCCAATTAGATGCAGGAAGCGCGCTTTATGGGATTTCGCTCAACTCTGATTCAGCAGACCAATAAATGTTTTCTCTCTCTTTCGCCTAATGATTCGCGAGAGTATTACGAATAGTATTATACTCACGTATGCCGCGAATGTATCTCTTTAAAAGTCTTCGCGGGACAATCGCGGCGGATAAATCAGACGCACGGTTGTGTGCGAAAGTGCGATCACTTTTATATCGCGCTCGGTGACGCATTTGCAACTACAAACGAAATATTTATGGTGCAGCTATCTGCGCAATTGAATGTACTTATTTCCTTAAAGGATTTGAGCTCTTTAGTTCTCGATACACTGTTTTTTTTCACGGAAGTTATCGCAGAGGTTCCGTCTACATATTTCTACAATACAAAGCGCGCACACAAATAGTTTCTAAACTCACAAGAGTGTTCTGCATTCCTTCGACAAACTAACATAGGATCTCCTAATCCGTAGTAAAAGGATACTAAATGTTCTCCATCGGCATAATGACTCTAAGAGTGCGGGAGGCCGAAAGGGACGGACGCAACGAGGCGGAAAGAGAAACGAAGAGTGAGATAATCGAATGTACTCACGGGAATAATGCAGGCACGATCACCGGACAGCAAAGTTCGCGTGATTTATCTAATATTTCCTTATTCGGCCGCGAGTCCGTTGTATGGAACACCTGGGAGCTCCTTCCCTTTTCTCTCTCCTTCGCGAGAATTCATGGGAAAAGTGACTGCTCAATGATGCGACGATGCAAGAATAGAACAGCATGATAAAAGTAAACGCGTAATCACGCGATTCTTATTCTTCTTATGAAAAAAATCATCGGATGTTTTTAACGCAAAAATAAACCGAGGAAAGACTACTATCAAGACTTTGTTATAGGGATTGCCGCCGTAATTGTGATCTGATTTCTCCTATGTTGCAAATTATATTACGATTCATCCTTTACATCACTTCAGGTTCAACTTACTGGCATTCGTCACAGGTAACCTTTCGATCTTGATGGAACCATCTGTGTCAGGCGTAGGCGTAAGACCGGGATAGGAACCCTGAGGTTGCGTCACCGTTACCGCAGGATGTGGACTCGCCTGAAAGAGTCATAATATTATATATCGCGAAATAAATAAAAGGAGCAATCCATCATGATTGCCCAGATACTTATTTATTTACTGCTGATTGACAAAGTTTCTTACCAAATGTTCTAGCTGCGGTGGTGAGGTATGCGAGTATATCCCGCCGTGTGGACCAACTGGGCCAAGATGAAGGGCTACTTGACTTTCGGCGTGATTCCTCAATACGTTTATGGCATCGTCTAACCGCTCCTCCATTCGTGCTCCCTGTACCAACAGAATACCGAAAATGCGACTCGATTACGCGCCGATAGCTCGAAATTGTCTACTTTATTATTATTCGAGGAATTCTATAGGAAGCCGTATCACTGACGTTTTTTTATTTTCCTTAGATTCTTATGGTTTGTTCCAGAAAAGTTTCAAAGAGAGAAAATCAATATTGGATTCTTTTATTTCGTTTCCAGGAGAGATAGTTCGACTAACCGAAAAAGCATCTTGGAAGAAAAATAGAATTATAAAAGTATTATGTAAAAAAAAAAGAGTCTGACCGATTAGATTGATTAAAGGGTTTAATGCCGACTGATTATCGAAAGTTTTGTTAATGGAAAAGTACAAGCTATGATTATATATTGTGCACAATGTGAAAACTTTATCACAATATATAATCAAAATTAATTGAAAGCGTAATTAGCAAAAAGTGCAATGGACATTTCGTGGCATTTGTCGTGGTGTAAACATGGTAAACATGCGTAAAGAAATGTGGAAAAGAAAGGAGAGAATGAGAAGGTTGGTAAAAAAACTGAAATTCGGCGGTCCTCACCTCGGCGTGGTCGCGAAGGAAGCCGATGGCATCGTCTAGCCTCTGCTGTTCAGGCGCCGGCTTCACACACAACACCAACGCAACAACAAAACCAAAAAAAAAAAGAGAAACAACCAAGTCAACACAACGTTCACAACAAACAGGGCGGAATGAATAAAAGTGTGTCGCCAAATGAACGGGAGGGACGATAAACTTAATAATTTGTACGCAAATAGGGGCGAGGGGAGGATATAAATAAATAGTCGCTTATAAAGGAAGCACATAAACGGTGATTTCTTGGTGCAAACGCGATCATGCACTTTGTGCAACTTCAGTACTGCGTGATTATGTGCGAATAGCGACTGTAATCTCTCATAATAAAAAAATTAATCTTGATGACACAAATAACAGCAAATTCTTTTTTTTATATTTCCGCTTGTATACCGCTCCTCCGTTGCTCGTAACAATCCTTCCCCCTTCCCAAAAAAATATAAAAATTGCGCGAGTGATAATTGATAATATATCGTCGATATGTAGTGTAGGTATAGCGAAATATCATTGGAAAAATATAACTGTTGTGTTCCAGCGTTTGTAAAAATGAAAAATTGTCCCGTGCATGTTTCTGAAGCGGCCAAAATTATACACGCGTTTGAGAAACCTTTCAACGATGTTTGATTTATTAAAGAGAGATTTCCATATATCACAAAATAATAAATTCCTAAAAGAATTTGAAAATGGACAACGTTGAAAAGGTCTTGCAGCTTGTGCCGGGTCAATCGTAATTAGTAATCGTAGAAATACGAGATACATACCATGTGAATACCACGATTGGGATCCGCCGTAAAATGCGGAGATACTGGCGCGGCTCCAGGTGCCCAACCTGGTGCCGAACCGGTTAAAGGTGGTGGCGAACTGACGGGTGTAGATGGATTACTGCTATAACTGGATACTGATTGGTCCGTGGGATAAATCTGTGAAAAATGTGATAACGACGCAATCGTAACATAATATTACGAAGGTCCGAATTATTCGCGAAGTGACGACGTCGCGTCGTAAAGTAAGATGTATCCGAATGTTGCGACAAATGTTACATTAAATTTCAACAAGAACATCTCTAGATGTTTACGTGGATTACTTAAATCGTTCAAACATTGTCTCAAATTAACGAATAATATCCATTATTTTATAACGTTTTATCTCTATTAATTATCTTTTATTTCATTAGCGTAAAAAAAAAAAAAAAAATGATTCAACGGACACATACTCGAGTGCTCACGACGGATGCGAGGGTCTTGCCGAGGGTGTCGTCCGTGGTGGATTGCTGGTTCGTCGTGGGCGCAGTGTTGGACGCGGAAGGCGCGGTCGTCGGTGCACCAGGACTATGGCTATATTGCAACGATGCCGGCGACGGCGCCCCTGTGCCGCTGTTCGCCGCGACCGCGGCACTACCCCGGAATGTCGACATTGGCGGCAGGGAAGCCGCACTGGTCACCGCCGAGCCCAGGATCGGCGCTGCAGATTCACCATTCGGCGACATCGCTGAGTATGCCTGAAACCGCCAAGCGCAAATGGTTCGACGCTCGGTTCTTGTGGTAACCATCTTGGGGGCGAAGTCGTGGGAATACGCGATCTTCAACATTAATTATCGAACTTGCGTCCAGCATGTCGGAATCTCAGAATCTGTCCCTGGAGGTTCTCTGTTGTATAGAAGGAATTCTATACAATATAGGTTCGCCGGAACGTTGTCTGATTTGTGAAATAGGAAGATATAACGACACCAACAGTCATTATGCTCTATTTGATGTTTCAGTCTAAGCGTCTCAATCACTATCTTCGTGAATTTCGTCGTAGGAGGACTTCGGGATGTCAGGGATTTCTGCAGGATTTCAGAAGGGATGATGTCTTCTTCGAGTGCGTTCATACGTGCGCGAAACGTCGGATTGATTTATCCTATCTAGTTACAAACGATAAAGATCTCTATTACAAGAATTCCGAGTGATTTCCAGGAGCCGCGTGGCGCTCGCGATTTGTACGATAGCTTCAAGCGCGTCTTTCTGGTTATAATGGATCACCTCGACCAGCTTTGATATCGGATACGCCGAGCGTGGGATAGAGCTCTCTCGCACCTACTGAAACCGCTCGTAAAAGTCTAATTTTAAGCCACTGCCGACGGTCTATGGAGCGTAGGGTATTTATCAACAAATTAGAGTGTCCGGAAGACGCCTACAGAGACGTACGTGCCGCACGTAAAACGTCGCCTTTAATCAACGCTTTTATGAAGAAGCATAGCGATGGATATCGTGGCGAGACCGAGAAATTTCGACATGTTGACGGATATATTAGAAAAACTTAGCCATCCAGCGAAATCTCTTTTTCGATGGACCTGCGGACGGCATTCTCAGAAGATGGGTTCATTAAACTGGAAGATCGTAAATGTTTAATTTTTGGTAACCAAAAGAAACTTTATGACGTTCTATTCTTCTTAGACGCGTTCATCTTAAATCGTACATCTTTACGATATTTCTTGTCATATCACATAAGTCAAAAGGCCTCACTGTAGCTACGCGAACGACAATAAAATGGTTTGTCTTACGTTAAAAGTTGGACTTTATGATCCGAGAGCTCCGGAAGTTTTTATTCCAATCTATTGTATATATACATATGTATATAAAAAGAACGTTGTTTTAATAAAAATGAAACCAACGTTGAGGGAGGGAGGGGCGATCTCGCCATTTATTGGCGATTACCGATCGAAGACATCACGACCACGACGTCATATGCCGGTAGCAGAAGCCTACTCTCGTTGTCTCAAAGAGAGAGAGGCTACCCGAGAGACGGAGGTGCCACGAAGAGGAGGATTTCGTGGTAACCATGAACGGCGTAAATCAAACGAAGGCTGCACTTGACTAGAAACACGGAGTAGCGGGAGGGTCGGGACTATATATAGACGCCAGTGAGTCATTTGACGTTACTCCGGGTACGTGGAGCACTGTCAACAGTGTCTCTCAACCATAGCGAGACGATGAGAGAACGCGTCTCTCCTCGAGCACACGCGACAATCAACCGGGTGGTCCGAAATAAGACAGCCAGAAGAGACCACCAGCTGGCCCGTTGGATCACGATGGTTGACGAAGAGGATTAGAGCCGACGTCGGTTGGTTGAAGAGTAATGGCCGACCGAGAAGCGACGCGCGGCTCGTCCTCGAGACGACCCCCGGTGCTTCGCGTGAATTCATGAATCGCCGAGACTGTCGGCGAGATTTAGCATTTAGGAATTTATCACGTTCCGTGGAAAACCATTAAACGATACGATAAATCTCTGAAAAGTATATTTGTATTAGATGTTCTCTCGATCGACAATCGTTGAAAACGTCGAGAATCCCGCGTTTCTCGGAATTTCGTCCGGGAAGAGTGCATTTCGAGCAGCCATCCGTTCGCTTCGACGTACAACGACGTCGATGGGGTAAAAGTTCACGAATTAACGGAATTCGCGATATGCGAGAGCTCGTAGTGAAATTATGGCGTTCAAGTTCTCCGATACGAAGAATCGATCTTTCATCGTCGAATTCAATTTTTATACGTCGATTACGCAATTGGGGTTTCGTCGGACCTCGTCGATTTTTGGGACAGAGAGAGAGAGAGAAAGAGAGAGAGCCACCAAAGCTGCTCGAGAGGCACATCGATCTTCCGTAGCACCAAGATTAGGTCGCCCGCTTAGGTTTTAATCTGTCGATTTCCTCGTCGAACTCACGTATTCGACGACAGAGAATATGGAAGAAGAAATATCCCTGTGTCTATTACGAAGTTCCAGAGACGTCGTTTTCGCGACGGCGGCTCCGTAGGAACTAGCAGTCGAGTCACGCGTGATTGATCGTTTCTTCGGATTCAGCCGGGGCAAGGGTATAGTCGGGATAGAAACGAGAGAATGCGAAAGGGAGAGAGAAATCACTTACCATGGGGTCGTGGGGTAGGTGCATGGGATAGGCTGGCTGCGCCAGGTGAGAGGGTGCATATCCACTGTATGGGGGCTGGACACCACCGCCGCTACCCGTCCACGGGTCGCCGGGACCGGTTCCTGTAGTATTACCATCTGCAACAAGAGAGAGGCGCGGTTTCGATCAATCATGTGTCATCCCATTATTATTCGAATATTCGAGATCTAAATAATCAATTCAGAGCAACCACGTGTTTGTAAAAAGGAAATTTCAGAATATCTCGATAATATAGATTATGGAGTAATAAATAAGAATTTTGCGCGACGCATTATTAGATACCTTCGGAACGTGCTTCCTTTTGAACGCGACATCGACTCGTCGTGTTCGTAAAAATTCTTTCTCGTTCGATGTAATTGAAGTATCGCAATGTAGAATAGAATCTCGTCGACTACCCCGAGCACTTTCTACGTCATTGGAGCGGGAAATAATAAATAATAGAGCACGTGGCGTTCTACGCTCAGCGAGCGTAGAATATCGCGCACGTGCCCAGATAATGGGCGTCCAAATCGAGTTAAAATGCATCCTCGCGGCGTTTAATCGAATTTTCCACTCGTCAGGGATGCCTTGCACTTCATAATGTTTATACAATTTTGGCCGATTAACACAACGGCGACGTTCCGCTGCGAACAAACGCCGCGCCAAACTTCCTAATCAAGCGGCGATGTCATTCCTTCCGCAGTAATTATTTCGAGAACGAGTCCACGGTATGATACAACTTCCCTGGACTTTCGCCAAGTCGAAATTTCGCGCTTTCCAACGTCTCACTCGGTTCCCGGGTGTCGTTTGCGGTGGAATCGCACACACACCCGGTATAAGGGCCAATAGACGCGCGGTACCCGGCGCGGACCATTATTTCAGTTGAAAACAACAGCAATAAGCTTCGGGAACGTATTTCTTGATACTTTTGCTTGATATAATTCCCGTACCGGGCGCTCCTCGACGAGAAAACGGAAACTAAGCCAAACTACTCGGGCGTTCCTACCAACTACCGGTGTTCGATGCCTGATAAAACTTTTTCGCCCCCTCGTCGTGGCCTCCCATTTATAAGCCATTCCGGTCAGCTACCGGGTGCCACGAGCGCCGACACGTATTTCGAAAGCGTACTTAAACTGCTACTTTTCTCATCTGATCCATAATAACGAGCCCTGCGGTGAAAACTTCCTCGATTTCATAGATCTATCATCGTGTAAAGATCATCTAAAATATTTGCACATTTAAGCATGCAAAATTCTTCCAAGGATCATTTGTTCCATTAACGTGGCCTTTTTTTATAACTAGCTCTGCATTCTTTTACACGTTATTTGGGACTTAATCAAATAAATCCTTTGTTATTTTTACTTAAAATGTTAATCCCCAACCGGCAACATTGGACTTTAAAAAAAGCACAGTTGATTTTTTTGATTGTAAATTCTGGTAGATAAATTTAAATCAGTAAAAAATTAGTAAAATACAATCTAACTTCCGTGATAGTAAAAATTTATTGTTAAAAAACTTTCACAAGTATATAATTTTTTTTAAATCTTTATAACGGAACAATATAAGACAGAACAATATAAAAATCTGTATTGAAGTTTGAAGATTCAACGAACGAACGAATGGAAATTTCATATTGTCGACCGGAGTTTTATTAAGTTTTGTATACAATTTCCAACGATTTCTTACTTACACGAATCTGAAGAGCAGCGACGAATATCCGCGAAGCACAGAGCGTGACGATGTACATCGCACCTGTCTTAATGACAATAATTTTTCAAAGATCCGTTATAATCTAAAATAAACTCCGTAAAACGATTACAGCTTTATAAAAATCAGCAGCAGCTCCAACTAATGGAGCAATTCGCACGACACAATAATTGTTCCTACGACGCGAACAATCCTGCGCGTAAATCAATTTTAAAGCAACAAATCGGTATTACGGACAGTATGACGTAAGAGAGTGAGCACATCAAAGAAGAGCGACTTTTGCTGACGAAAAAGTGACGAAAAATAACTAAAATAGCGATCCTAAGACGCCAGCGCTTCGATAAATGTTCATTGCAGCAACAAAGTAACATTCGCAGTGGCCGGTAGCGAAGCAAGCGGCGGAGAATTGCTTTTATTGGCAATATCTCGTCGACGAAGTTTTCCGTGGAATTTTTTTTCGACAAGCGGTGTGTCGGATATATCCGCGAAATCCAGCGACGAACTTCGATGCCCCGCCGCGCCGCTTGAACAAATAACGAGATTGTTATTGTTTTTACGCGCGACAGGCAGAGCGGCAAAATTTTACGAGCGAACGTTAAACAGTTGAATATTAGTGCGCTCGTAAAATTCCTTTTATCGTCTATTCGAATCGTTATGCGATTTCCAAATGATATATACGTACGTATACGTACGTATACGTACGCGACGTACACATACCCGCGCCTATGCCGATGGCTGCTGATTCGCAGATAACCATCGATCTATCGAACCCACCAGGAGGTTCGCACTATCTCGTTTAATTACATCCATGTCCGCTGATATCGATTATTAACAGATATAAGTCAGTAATCTATTTCATAACTACTTTCGTGAAATTAGTAACGATAACGAGTCTGTTACCACGCGCTCTAATTTCGTTCTTAATCTACGTGATGTCTGTTTGCCCGAAGAGATGCAATGATTCATTCAATAAAATTCCATTTTATTCTTATCGGAGTTAGTAAAAGTATACTCTTCATACTCGTCATACTCTTAAAAAAAGTGATAAAAACTAAAAAAATCAGTATTAGTATTAGCAAAAAATATACTTTTAAAACCATAATCATATTATGTCACTTTTATTTTACAACCCTTAAGAACTCTTTTTGAATTGTAATTGTGATTTTGATTCGTATTCTACAAAATTGTAACAAATCCGGAATAATCAATCGAAAATTACATAAAATATCACAGTTTACATTTAAATTGTAAACTCTTATTCTTCTTAAAAACTTAAGTTCTCTTTTGGCAAAGATGGAATGTGCAATTAAGTTAGTCTATTTTTGATGATTAACAGAATTATTTTTGCCAAACTCATTCATGGTAATAAATAAAAAAAAATCACATTTTTTTCTTCATTCATGTCACTTTTGAAATAAAAAACGAAATCTTGATGTTTCTTATTTTTGATAATTCTTATTTTTTATTTACTTACCGATGTAATAGGAATCCGCGTAAAGGGCACCCTTCGGCGACGTGTATCTCGGCGAGTCCTGTCCGAATTCATCCGAGCCATACTGCAACAGAAAAAGCAAATATTTATAATTAAGAATTCATTATTAAACGAAGAAGACTTAAAAAAAAAACGGGGAAATCCTATGATCGTTCGAACGATTGATTCGCGAATCAACGTGCAACGACAAACGGAAATGCCGCGCATATAATTTTCTCATCGCGCTGTTTTACGAACCGCGAAACTTTTCATCGACTTTGTCGGCGTTTCAGCATTTCTGGTGTAATGCGAAAAATTACACTGTAATTGCGACGACACACGGACTCCACCATCAGCTATCAGGCGAACACCAGCACGATGTTGCATCTCCGTTTCTTGCGACATCTTTGTGCATTGTATTGTAGCGCATCTCTCCATCGATCTTACGATAGACCCGGTCGACTATTACGACATCAAGCAACGTCGTGGCTCGTAGTGAGAATAGTCATTAATTCAGCGACGTAGATGCGAAAGAAGAACGTGCGCGCGCTTCTAGAGAGAGAAAATCGGTATGATGGAGTCATTAAATGGTTACACACGTACATACACGTATACATACACACGGTTATCCTTGCGCAACGGGGACATCAATAAAAATCTAAGATTAGGTCATCCTCCTCGATCTAATTAACACTAGCTTCACAGGGACGAGTAGAAGATCTGATTTAACGACATTCGTCGCGTTGCGCTGTGATAATTTTATTCTTCATAAAAAAAAATCGTTAAACTGAGAGACTTTATGTGTTAAAAATGCCAGTGATGATAAACGCGTTGTCTCAGTGACACTTAGATTTACTCGGTAGATATACAGTGCTTCAATTTTTAGAACGTGATGAAGGTCAGAAAGTACGGCGTTCATAAAAATAATTGTTAGAAGCTCGTTGAGTTTGAGAGCTCGTTAATATAGAGATATGTCGAATGTAAGGCAAGATGCTGATGATAAAGCGGAAGTAGGTCCATGATAAAAACACTGCAAAATCAAGTGATTAGTTTTCCACTAAATAACACTATACTGCATACAAATATGTAATATACAAATATATATAGTATCATTTCTATATGGAATACTAAATAACGTATAACAAAGTCACTTTTTATACACTTGGATTTGCAGTGAAGTCTTCGATTGTCTAATCCGATATTGCACTCCAATCATTTAAATGAAGGATAAAGCGCGCTATCGGAGCAAACGGTGTTACCCAATATAACTTGATTACTCATCCATTATGGACGTCTCTCCGAGAGACTAGAAACTACATAGATCGGGAAATGTTCTTCTCCTCGAGAAGAGTCGCGGACCGAAGACGGATTATGCGAACTGCGAGTTACATACAGAACACATTCGTGCTCTCAGCTCCAAGTTATAGATTTATGGTTGGCGCTCCCTTTCCCTTCCATGTCCCTTTCCTTGAACCAAGATAGATACGAGGACTTCGGGATGGAAAAAAACAATGTAAGAGGATGATGCACAGAGAGTGCACGCGACAGAAACGGAGATCTATCGATCGTTCTGGTTATACCAAAGGTACAATCGAGAGACTACTTTGCGTAGTCCGCATTTTCGGTAAATTTACCATTTTATAGCTGCCGTAGTCCGTGTGACAGACAAACATGTTGGCGGTCGGAGGTGTGTGAGCGTTGATTCGAACGATACACCGACTCTGTCCTATCACACGGATCGCGTCACACAGAACGGCACATCACCACCACAAAGGTACGTAGATCCGGCGACGGGCGGAGGAGTTGCCGCACGAAAACGAGAGAGGAAGATGAAGCGGAAGAGGAGGCTGGCCAAGTAAAGAGGAACGAGATGGAGGCAGCAGCAATCGCGCGCTATAACAACTCCCCTCGTCCCAATTTCTCCTCTCTTTCTCTCTCGTCGTGATATATGTTAAAATATTCCACGGCACTGCTGCCTTATCCGCTTGCACCGCGCCGAAAACTTTCGCGCACGATGCCGGTCTTCTTTCGCCCTCCCGTTTCGCTCTCTTTCTCTCTCTCTCTCTCTCGTCCCGCTTTTCCAACACGTCGAAAAGTGCCGCGCGCTCCGCTTCGCGCGGGACGAGGGCGGCGGTAGAATAAACTTCGGCTGCTAACGCGAGGACTATGGGGCGCCAGGCCGAAATTTAACGCCTTCTCTGGGCCATGAAAGAATCGTACAACTTTGCCGACGTTGGAACTTCGCAACTACGCTTACGCGCGGAGACTCTCGCGATAGATCGATAGTCGTGAGACCACGTGCGAATTCAGACTGTGTGGCAACGACGAGACTCGATTCGATTTCGGGCAACGACGAGACTCTATTCGATTTCACTCGACTCGACTCGACTCGACTCGACTCGACTCGACTCGACTCGACTTGACGTAAAACAATACCGAGCGATGCGGCCGACTACGCGCGACTGTCGGTTACGCGGTATCGCGCGTTCACCAACGTCGATCGAGAGCGCGTGGTCGAGGTGGGAGCGACGCGCGATCCAATCGTCGTGACGCTTGCATGGAAGCGCGGTTTCGCGAAAGAAGGATCCCTCCGCGTCGGAGGGATCCTCTCCTCGGGAGAGGAGTGATATCTCCGAGTCGTGCTGCCGCATGGACGATAAGCCCGGGGTAGAGATCCTCAAGAGAGAGATTGAACATCGTTTAGACAACTTCTGATTTTGGTGTACACCATATTTTTCATGCTTAGGATAGAATGAGAATTAGGATGAGATGCGTCAGCATAATCTATCTCATTTTATCTTGAGTAGATCCTGAAAAATATCGCGAATCAAATGTATGGTGTCCAATCTCTTAAGCGATGATCTACAATGACATCTTAAGGCGTAAAACTTGAGCTTTAAGCCTTAAGCCATGAGAAATTGACCAATCATAGTTGATTGTTTTCCTCTTTGGCTGTAATTGGTCAATTTCTTACTTAAAGGTTAAATTTAAATTTTACACCTTAAAATCTCATTGTAGATGCCACTTGAGGATCTCTAGTCCTCTGGTTTGAGTCGCAAGCGACTCTTGGACGCGTGTTTTACGAGAAGAGTACGTTTCCATTCGTCGGAGCAACTGGGAATTGATTGACTCTCGGAGGAGGCACAAACGATTGATGGTCAATCTATTGTGGATTTTCTGCAATAAGCCTTTATCTGTGTCTTAAGTCTCGAGTCGTAAGAAATTGACCAATCACGTAAATCGAATGTGAGAAGAATAATCGACTGCGATAGATCAATTTCTTATGATTTTAGATTTAAAACTTAGGTAATGGCTTATTGTAGGAAGCTCCATAACGCTCGCGGATTTCGATAGCAACGCGGATAGAAAACATGTATTCGCTCCGTCTCTGTTGTTCTTCTTCTTTGTATTGATATGATACAACATGGAACAGAAACAGAGAAAAAGGAACGAACGCTATTGCTGACATATGTGTGACAAATGAAATGGTTTTCGAGAGCGTGCAACGCTGGCACCGGAATATCTGGGAGAGATAGAGAAATAATCACGATCCGATAAAAGTATCGAGCTTTATCAGCAAAACCGGTCGATAACGACCTTACAAATAAGAACATCTCTCCGATCAAGAGAGGGAGGTTAAAACTGGTACTAATCGGCTGATAAGCTGCGCTGTACGGACTCTGGTCCTATTAATTTAAATGAATTGCTTTGACACCCGCGGTCGAACATGGAACTTCGACAATCCGATCTCGTACATCATGTTTCTTTCCTCTCTTTCAATCGTCGCTCTTCTTATTCTTTATAGTCGTAACAAATGAAATCACAATAGGTAATAAATAAATTTAAACAACGTTTAAAAATTAATCAATAAATTGTAAACAAAGCGCGTGATAGAAATAATTTGTTAATAAAAAAATTTAAATCATTTAATATTTTTAACGGGCAGAGCAGGAAGATCACTCATCTGTTTATACAGATTAATATTTAATCGCTATAAATTTACTTGAATTTTCTCAGTTAGTTTCTCAGTTAGCGATGGATACGAAACGAAATTCGGCTGAACGGACAAAAATGTTTGCTAAGCGTATCGAGATGTCGTTCGATATTCACGAGCCGACATCACTAAACGGGCCATTAAATTATTCACCGAAAACCATAACGGCCACTTTAACCCGGGTCTGTAGAGACTGGGAGCTGAACCACGTGCGCGGAGCGGCAAGAGAGAGAGACACCGCATGGACAATAATTCACGTTTTATTTCCTTCTCGTGGCAGGACGTGCAGGAAAGGAAGGACACGCAATGATAAAAATGTCGCCGCGGTCGACACGGCGGATCAGAAATCTTAATATGTCCCGTTCGGATGTCCACAGTCGTCCGTAGAGAGTCAGCGATTTCCAGCCAATATAAATGTCCTACATTGATTTAGTTCTCCTTTCCTACCCCCTCTTCCCCGTGGGTCTTACGATCTATCGAGAGGGTGAAACGGAAAAGACAGCGGTGGTCGAGTCGAGGATGCAGAGAAAGCCGGACTGGACCAACGAAAATGTCTCTGTCAGGGAAATTAGTCTTCGAGGATCCGAAATAGGACAGAAGGGTGCGGCACCGCGTACCCTCCTCGAGAGACGGATGTTATGAAACCTTTGGAAAATTGAGCACGTGATGGCCACCTCACGTTCTCGATCAACCGCGTCGTCATTGTCATCGTCGTTCATCCCCGCATATATTCTGGAAATTTTACATCCATAGTCGTGATTTACAGTTCGCCTCGCTTGACTTACTTAATACTGTACAAGATCGATTTGCAAACTGACTTAACCACTGCGATCTGTCACTTTGTAACTATGAGATAGAGAATGTAATAATTACATTTCTCAAAATAAAAACTAGAAATGTGATTGCAATAATAATAATTAATAACAATATAAAATAATAATTAAAAATAATTTTGCTGATCAAACCATAATAATTTTAATAAATAAATTCTGAAACTGAAACTACGATTATTTTCTCTTCGCACTGACTCTTCCCTGTAACTGTTGTTATGTACACGTGGGCGGAAATGAGTTGAAGGGTGTAGTCAAGAT